AACAACGTTTATTCAAAAGAATGAAGTGGAGGCAAGGCGCTGGAAGCATTATATGCTCTCCACAAAATTAAATTAAATAAGTAAATAAATAAATAAAACAAATGGATAGGTATATACATATATACAACAGAGTAAATGTAAAACTTCATATATATATCAGGAGCACAAGTAAAGTACAGAAAGAAAGAAGAGGAAAAGAGATAATACCTATTAAGTGATAACAAAGTTTACGAGAAGAAAATTTGCAACAGTGTCGAAGATAATTTCATTTTGGGTGGGTGATAAGGATTTATGACCGTAGAGAAACAACGACAGCTTTTCTTTTTGTGTTTTGAAAGAGGTCTTGCTTGCATGTAGAGTTTCATTTATTTTTTGGTAAAGGGTAATCAGATCTTCCTCCATATTGTAAACTCAAAAAGAATTCCCAATATAGGCAAGAATGTATTACAAAGAATGTTCAACCAAAATGGTCAACATCAGCTTGGAAAAATAGGTCCTAAAGTCAATTATTCTCACATTTAAGCTTTATGTTTGGTAATTGTTTACTCCCAAAGCTTTAATCTTTCAATTCCATAGAACTGCAATAAATTATTTAACATGGCTTCAAGAAGAAATCTGCACAAAAACAGCTCAGAAACAGAAAACAACTAAAATGCAAACTGTACTATCCACTTACTAGAAAGAGTTTCAAATGTCCACTGACCACAGGAGCAAATTATAGTTGCTATAGCTTTAGCTGCAAACACGTATCTATTTATAGCATAGTGTTTAACTAAAGCAACTATAGTTGTTTACCATAATTGCTCTAGTTCTAAAGACACTGTGCTATAAATTTGGCTTCTGTGGTCAGCAGCCTTTTGAGACCATGTAGCATTTTTAGTTATTTTTTCTTGATATATGCTAGTACTTTGCAATGAGTTTCCAATGTGGTGGATGACCCCATAATTTATAAACATGTTGCAACAGTTTGTAAGGTTACACATGTCTCCCATAGCAATTACCTGGCAATATATTTTGTTTTACATCACCCTAGTACCTAGCAAATGACCTTTTCCTGTGTTTACCATATCCGGAGTTGAATATTTTTCCATTTCATTGCATTGTTTTGCATATTTTATTATGACCCTATGAAAGAGGAAAGGTGCAGTATGAGAAATAAAACAAATTGATGTATAACTATATGTTTATTAATATTCTCCTAACATTGGCTTAATTGGGAACAAGAGGAGAATGCCAAAAAACAAACAAACAAAAAATTGCTCATAGTTAACTCTTACAGATTTGCTGAATGTCCTTGGTGGTTATGTTATGTATATGCCACGAGTCAGCAAGGTTTATGAGATATACAACTGTGTATAGACAGTAAATCGCATGTAGATATCACATAAAGCTTGTCGACAAAAGGTGTATCCAGAGTTAAACCAGGGGAAAGGTGATGTATATGCAACAATCATAATATTTGGGTCTTTTTCACAGTATCCACCATTGGCATAAGTCAGGGTAGTAAACAACTACGATGATCGGAATTCAAGACAAACATATTGACAGACAATACAGAAAATTAGTACCAAATTCTGGATATAATTATGGCTAAGGTGTATGCAGTTCAGATGTATTGCTAATGATAAAAAATATGCTGTGAAAACATATGTTAACCATGCATTAGTATCTGTAATGCATACGTCTTTCTTTTATCAAATCTTTGAAAATTATGGTTTTCATTACTTGAACAGGTGCCTGGTCAGAAATCAGTGCATTATTACAGTTTTGTTTCTCTAATTAGCTGTCCTGGTTGTTTTCTTAAATGGCACTTGAACAAAATAGAAACAGAAAATGAAGTTATCAGATTGGACCGTGCTGTTTCTACACACTGCTTAATATTTTTGTTGCTGCTAGAACTTGCCCACAGATGTTATGTGTAAGATGTTAAAGTTTAGTACATACAGGGTATGATTAGAAACTTGCAATATGCTACAAAAAGGTTTCTTTTGAGGAACCAGTGCATATAGCTGTAATAGCTTATATTTTTAAGATCTTTTTGCTAATTGTCATTTATCGGCTTTCCGTAAGTCAGAAATGCAAACATAAGATGTAGTCTTATCTGGACATTAATCTTTTCTTTAAAAATACAACATGTATTCAGTATATTAACATGGAAAAATTGGAAGTAGTTTTATAATGAAATAGATTCAATGAACTGAATGAACTATGTAATATTTAAAATAATAGAGCACTATCTTTCATTTCAGGCACTGGAAAATGCTGGAGAACTACATCCCCCAGCGTATGGGACCGAGTACACTGTCAGATGTGTGCATGTTTTTCTTCAAACTTGCCTGGCAATCCAGAATACGCCTCCCAGTCATCCTCACTGTGGTTTTTATGATCCTCGACACTCGTCTGCAGCTCGAGATCAACATCAACATCAACTAAACTTGCTTAAACATCAGTGATATTTTTCATATAACTGGACTACAACAGATTCATCTGTGCCCAAAGTAGAATTTTGTAAAAGTTTGGTCTAAAGCTTAAAGACCAGCTTTTGGTATAAAGTTCTTGTTTGAAACAAGTCCCTATTGCTTCCACGGTTATCCATGCCAACTCCCAAATTATTGGCATCTCTGTTGCCCATGTATTCTTACAAATGTATTCTATCAAAGTCCTTGATATTTTTCTTTCGGTTGGCTTGGGATGTGAGATTTGAATTTCCCTGCTCTGTCATTTTTGCTACATTTACTATGATTATTGGGAGTTATTTGAATTGACCAGGAAAACTCCACAGACAAGCAAAATGTAGCTGTTAAAAGCAACTAGATATTCAATACATTCCGTCCATATTATTATATAATTATATAGCAGATAGCATATATTAGCAGTGAATTACCTAAAGCTTTGTAAATATAAGCATAGATTGTATGATTAATCAACATGAGTCGAGGTATTAAAGATTTACGGGAACTGATTTGTGTCTCTCGCCTAACGGTGAGACACAGCGACGATGAAATGGATTTCAGTGACGAAGATGGCAGACTGTCCATGGCATTTGATGCTATGTCACTGGGCAGCGGCAGTGTGAGCAGTAGCAGAGAGAGCTCCGCCACATCTGAGAGACGCGCAAGCTCTGGAACAGTCAGTCCTGACTCTGGCTTCAACACAAATGGTTTATCCCCAGAAATGGGCACAAAAGGGAATGGAGAGAATGCCCCGGGACATTACAGCAGTAGTCACACCAGTGGAGGTGCAAGACCTAAATCTAGGAAGAAGAAGAAAAAGAAGACAAAGGCCCTGGATACTTTACCCAGCAGACACGAACTTCCTAAGGCACAGCCTCTTCCACCTGTCAAAAGAGAAACAAACACAGAACCAGGCTCAGTTGGTAATGTTAGTGATGAGGATATGGAAATAGATGAAGAGTCCACAGAAATAAATGGGGCTAAGAGTAAAGACCCCCAGCCAGTTAACTTTGATGGGATGCTGGTGTTCATGGATGCAACCGTGGTGGCTGATTGGCTGCATCGCTCAAATGAGGCCGTCACAGAACTAACAAATTGGGTCCACAAGGGAGAAAACTTTGTCCAGTTTGCTCACTTCTGGCTGACAGATTTTGATCCTCTTCAGCGACAGAGAATTATGGACATGGAGTATGGGGTGTTGCTGGATGAACTGACTGTGGCGTTTGCTGCCGGGAAGAAGAACAGGAAGCTCCGTCACTCTGACATAGTGCAGCTCCTTGAGGGAATTTTCAGAGAGTATCCCAAGAAGCTAATGAGTTCCAAAGGACCTCACATGTTTCTCGACCATTTGGATGTGCTGACTTCTGAGAGACGGGGTGACTATAAAGTGCTTCTTGCTGATGTGAAATGTTCAACCAAAAATAAGCAGTTTGCTCAGTGGTTGCTGGCTACAAGGGCATTCTGCTTGGTGAATGTCTGGTCTGCCATTGTGTTGTTCTACAGGACACTGCAGGGCAGGAATGTTAGCCTTCCATTGCCTCCAAACCTTGTCAAACCAAAGGGAGATGTGCATGAAAGGCGCATGTACCAGGCAATAAGGTAATGTTTTCCGTACTCCAGGGCTGCCTACATTATAGCACTAAGACTTGTCCAGTATGTTAAGGTATTATCAATAACACTTGAAAACCAGACAAATTGATTCTGAAAAATATGTAGAATATAATAGGCATAGGAATTTTAACATTATAGATTTTCATAAAGACACTGTGACAAATTGAATTGAAAATTGTAATTGAAAAACTTCACAGCAATTCAATATTTGTAATATGCTAGCAAAAACTTCTATTTGATTTGGATTTTGTTTTATTTTTTCCCTCACTGTTGAAGTAACTTTTATGGCTTTTATTTTTGTCACAGGCACGGCTTCCTTGATGTCGTTCACTACCACATCAGGTCTAAGAAGGTGAACCCCCACTATAGGGACGAGCACAATCGCACCTGGCTTTTTATTTCTGTGATATGTAACAAACCCAAGATTCTACAATACTTTATAACTAAGGTAAGGATCATGTTCCTAGCAGCATAATATGGCTTTAACTCTAATCATGTAACGAACTATTAGTTATACATTAAGCGGGGTTCATGCTAAAATTTTTGAGTCAAATACAGTCTAATCTTGCTATAAAAGGTATTACAACATATATTCTACTATTTCTCATCAAATTATCCCTTTATTATTATTCCATATGTTGGTCCGAGTAGAATAATTCATATCTCTGATGTGCTGCTATTCCTCATAGAAGCAATACTTCATTAACTCTGTACAGAAACATTGTCACCTTGCGTAAACTACCAATTTTCACAGTGTATTTGGCTATTTTCAATGATATAATCAGAGTATGTAACAATTTAAAAAGTAAAATTGTATTAGTACTTTGTGCCAAAGAGATACACTTTGACAAGTTTGGCTGTCAAGATCTAGGAGCAGTGTTGATTTCTAATACACAACATGTGATTTGTCCTGCAATCCCATGATTAGACATGGCTGTGTTAGAGGCTGAAGACAGACTCTGAACACAGCTAACACATTATCATCCAGGAAAAAACTGATGGAATCAAGTTGTCCTCAGTTTGTACAAATACAAAATAACAATACCCATACTCATACATCTACCAATAAGATACACCAAAGTATACCAATATCTGTCAATATTATATAACCATATCAATACATACCAATAAGAAATCACCCTAGCCAATTCCTTAAGAAATGTTACATAAGAATAGTATAGCATGAAATTGCAATAATAAAAAAGTGTAATAAATGAAAACTTGTTTGGGTCACTTCAGGTCAAGCTTGACCCCAACCTCCCATGTGATACTGGCAACACCCCATTGCATGCTGCAGCCAACTGTGGCAATGTGGACCTGGTGGACCTACTGCTGAGAGTGCCCACTGTGGAGGTCAACCCCGTCAACATTCAGTGTGATCAGTCCACCCC